CTTGATATAACTCCTGTCAGGAGTAACAAACCTTGAACTCTCAGTGTGAACAGGGCATTACTGTTGACCGGCAAAGAGACTCAATATTATTGATTTTGATTCTGATTAGTAGAATGATTTATCGTGATGTTATAAAACCGTCACGACTCAGGCCCGTAGGAAGCAATTTCAGTTAGGGGAGCACAACCATACATTTTCAATTGGGGGGGGGGGGCACTATCAACTACAAAAAAAATTCTTGACCAAAAAAAAGTCATCAGAAGTTATTATTGAGGGGGCATAAGCATATACATGCAGTAGCTATGTTTTCTATTAATAGTATTCTAACAAGTGCCCGTCCCCCGTTCCTTCGGCCATACGACTTTCAAAAAAAAAAAAAAAAAAAAAAAAAAAAAAAAATTGAAAATAATGTCACAATATAGATTGTGTGAGTGTCAAACACAACATCGCTGCTATTGTAATCATTTATCAAATTAACATGAGTAGCGATGGATGTCTACTGAAATATACATGTAGATTTAACGAACAGTAATCAAACTCAAAAGTCTATTGAAACAATACAAATTGGGAATAGAGCAAACACGAATCTCCAGTAACATTAGAAATGGGATCAGTTGCCATGAAAGAGTAAGCATCAGCTCTCGACCGGTCACACCTGCCGTGTGCTCATTGTCATGACCAGGCAAACGGAAAAATCCGTAGACAATTCAGTGTTTAAATTATGGCCTAAGAATTAGTATAAAAAACATCAGTCAGCATTCTACTTAGTGATAAATTATATTTGCTGAATAGGTCATTGAATCGATTATAGAACTTGCAAAATGATGATTTTAAACAAGACTATTAATATCATAGTTTCATCAACTTGTTTGTGAATAGCTTGCCTCGTTTTATACATTGTTCGTACGTGGAGCATGCTCTTGCGTAACGAATCAACTGGGAGATATAAACCCCATATGCAGGTGATAAAGGGAAATTGCTACATAAGTATGTGAAGTTGAGGATAGAAAAGTTAGTCATAACTTTTATCATAAAATTTTGTTGTTAGTTTACCATTAACGTCTTTTTCTAGTAAAATTTCCAAAAATGAAACAGATGTGTCAGACTCTGTTCACCGGGATATATCGAGTCGACATATGAATGGAAGTAGAGCTTAACAGAGCTTAACAAAAATGCAAGAGAGATACAAAACAAACATGGCCTTCATGATTCCAACTATAATGCATATTCAAAAATCATAATTATATTAATTTTTTGAAAAGACGGCTCTCCTTCCAAAAAGCCTTGTACACGTCTTCAGCATTTTTATATCAAAAATTTAAGGTTGGGGTTCCCTTTACTTTACTAACACAACACACTTAAAAATTAAAAGATATGACTAGATGTGCACAAGACATCATTTTGGAAATTACTGAATGATTTGAATCTCATACAGTGGAGAACGGATAAAAATCGAGATTTAAATGTCGTTTATGTAAAAGGATATTTATTCTATTCTTCAGATGACACTTAAGGAATTGACATGATTATCTTGTAGTATACTAATAGTATATCTCTCCAACATTGCCTTCTTCCAACAAAATTTCTCACAAAGTTCGAAATTTAATAATTGTTGCAACTTAACTAATAAGCTGAATGATTCCTTTTTATGAGAAATTCAAAAAATGGTCTTCTCAAAATCTATGATCAAGACAAACAAAGACATACAAAATTGTTATTTTTGTGACAAAGTTAAAGCCTTTCCTCTTTTTAAGAGATGTGGATGAATTGGTAAGAAAAAATGTTACAAGCCCTAGTAATATCGTCTTCTATTTTAATGACTAAATGCACCATTTAGGGCTGGAGAAAAGTGGAATTAATGGAAAAGTTTAAAAACTTGTAAGTCTCAAGTTGCCTTAGCGTGGGGACATGATACTAGTAGCCGTGCGGCTTACAAAAATGCAAGGTTTAAGACTTATAAGACAAGCCTTAACGGTTGTAACGTGTTTAGTAATTCTCCAGTCTGACAAGATTATTTCGAATTCTTAAAAGAATTACGACAGTAAACAATTTTAAGACAAAGTTTAAACCTAAATTCTTTTTTCTTTGCCAATGATGCGATTTATTTTTTTTTAAACGCAACACCTTCAGAAATATTTTCGGAAGATATATGATGTTCTCTTTTCACTCAAAAAGAAACATTTTTGCTGGAGGCAAAATGATTTATGATTCTAATAAAAGTAAACTTTAATGACCCACAGATTAAATTTTATCAAAATTTACTGGTATATTACTTGATGTATTTCAAAGCTTTTATTCTCTTTTCAAGATGATTATTTTCTTTTTCATGAAAAAAATGTAATTTATGACGTTAGATAAAATAGGTGACTTACTCATTAAATTGTTTGCAAGATGCTTGTCTAAAATAAATTGGATTTGCAGAAGTTATTTGCCAAAGAATTGCCTGGTTATTTATCTTAAGTTGTTTTTAAGTTTGGTTTGGAATCATTACAAAAATTAATCAGAATATGTGACAGTTATATACGTAAATTCGAATTATTATACTTAAATAAATTGTTAAAACCTTTCCAGGGAAATGTGTTTTTTTTTCATATACAATGTTTCACAGAATGCAGAAACATGTAAAGGAGATATATGAAATGTGACAACAACCATCCTGATTTCATGCTGTTTATACCTTGTAATTATTACATGACTTTATAGAAGTTGATTGATAATGTTGAAGGTTTTGAAGTTTTTGTAATTATTGGACTCTCTTATCGTGACGTATAACAGTTCTAAACCCCTTTTATCATTCCTGTTTGTGACGTAGCAATAGAGAAAAATAAGGCAAATCGCCTGATGAAAAATCATTAGTACCTGAGAATTTTCCTGGGTACATTTTAAGCAATAATTTCTCTAGGGAACTACCTGCGTAGATTTTTTTTAATTATTCTTTTTTCAAATAAAGTACGAACCCGTTCTTATTGATATTGAGTAACTATGTAAATTACCTTATTACAATATTGTACTCGACTTCATCCGAAGTTAAAGAAAACAGATTCTGGAGTTTATAATAGATCTACAATAACAAGTGCATTTTTAACAAAGCAAAGAATAAATAAAAACAAACAAACTTCATATTTGGATATTCTACTAAAGAAAATCAATGATAGCAAATGCACAAGTATATTTTATGAACTACTTCCCTTAATTATGTAGCAATATACGGGCATATGGGCTTTATCTCTAGCAGTCCATTCGATACGCAGAAGCATGTTCTTTGTATGAACAAAACGTGATAGACGATAGACAAATAAGTTGATGATACATGGATGTCAACATTTTGCAAAATTCTATGGTTAGTACGATCACCTTGTTTGCAAATATAATCTGTCGTAAGGTCGAATGTTCACTGACGTCGACATGATTCTTACAAATAAAATAGACCATTATTTTCATACTGAATTGACTATGGATTTCTCCGTTTACCCGACCATGAAAAGACAAACGGCGGGGGTGTCCGGTCGACAGGGACGCTTACTCCTCCATGGCACCTGATCCCACTTCTGATGTTTTCAGAGATCCGTATTTGCTCTGCTCATAGTTTGTATTGTTTCATTGAATGCTCTTAGTTATCTTCGTATTTCATCGTTTGTACGATTTAAAAGTTATTTGTACAAGATAAAAATTTGTTTGTACATTTTGTTGTTTATAAATATTTATTACTGTATTATACTGTTCATGGCTTAAGGTAGGCGATTGATGTTATATTAAATAATAGCATGTTTAAACTTTTAAAGAAAATATTTTAATATCTTTTAACAAATTAAACAGAATTAAGACATTAGAGATAAAAAATATTGAATTTTATAAAGAAAAATATGTTTAACGACTTTGTTATTAATAGTTTGGTTGAACCCGTTATTGTATGTTTGTGACACCGAAAGTTTTGATGTATTGATCTTAATAGCTAAGAAACAAAGAAAATAGGAATGATAGTGATTAGATAGGCGCCATTTTTGCGGGACTCTGACCGTAATACATCTACCTGTATACTTGTACTATTTCTTTGTTGAATGTAACACTGCTTCTACTGGTATTACATGTACAATTGCAGTCTCCTCAGATTAAGGTAACAGGGATAATATTAATATTTTCAGTTAGTATTCAGATATATTGCTCACAAGTCTATACAGAACAAATATATGTAGATGAATAGTCTATGCTTTGCTCCAAAACTCGAGAGGAACCTTGATATCGAACATTCTTGAAAACCATGAAATACATCTGTATTCATTCATGCGTTAATTTCATGCAGGTCTTTCTTTTTGCTGTGTTAACAGCTTTCAGTGGTTGGGGTTGAAGGGACAAAGACGTACAAATTTTATTGTGTCAGACCGCTTTCCGATTACTTAAAGAGCGTACTCATGTAATATATACTTTCTAATGAAAATTATGTAGTCTGCTACACAAATATGTAAATGATTTTAAATATCATTCAGATTAAGAGTTATATTTTTTTCCGTGACATACTGCCTTGAATTATTCTAAAAGAATATGTGAATTTCTTTACGGGTTTAATAACAATTTTAAATTTTGTAAACTTGAGCTTTAGATAGTTAAAAAAAAATTATTTTGCAACAAATTGGTTTCGTGACAACTCAGTGTTTATAATGATAGAAAAGTAAAACAAACCAGAGCCTCTGTAGTCTCGACATATTGTCAGAGATTTGATCCCTGAGTATGTTAAACTTAATTAAATACCTGGTATATGAGATAAATGACGAAATGTACTTAGTATTAACATTTATTTTATGATTTGATGGGTTTTTAATAAACTTTGTATAATAGTATTATTAATGCTTCATGAAATATTGATATTCATATTCTGTAAGTATTGATCTTCTTCTACCCAAGGTATTTAAGAAAGCTCTCAGAATCCAGGCGGAGATGAGTCTCAACGCTGATACACTCTGTTGTCTTACAGTGACACAGCACCGATATTTTTTTTTTCAAAAATGAGTGTAAGTTTAGAATTAGGGATTTTTCTTAGCATCATATCTATGATATTAATCTTTGCAGTGGTCAGTAATTTCCTCGTCGTAATCATCGTCGCCAGAAACAAGAAGATGAGAAGTGCGACGAATATCTTTATTGGGAATCTTTCCCTCAGTGACATCATTTTGGGTGCCTTTGTCCTACCACAGAATCTACACGACTTGACGCACGCGGAAAACTTCCACGAAGGTATGAAAATTGTTCAGCTTAATCTGAATCTTTTTTTTCAGAATCTTTCCAAGTTTTACAGAACATTTTGATCACATTCATAATAAAATTTGTGCTCCTACATGTATTCATGGTATAAAACTGCAAATCAAAAGCTGTTTTGATTTCTTTGTTATAAAGGATGCACTTGTTTACTCAAATATTTTATATATATATATATATATATATATATATATATATATATATATATATATATATATATATATATATATATATATATATATATATATACACATGTATATATAAAGACACCGATGAAAATAGTCGTTCTTGCAAAAGTTCATTTATTTTGCAGCAAAAAATAATAATAAGAAGAAATAAATGATAATAAAAAAAAAAAAAATAAAAGGCATTGAACATCAAAATTAATGAGAAAGATACACTTTTTTATATAGCATAAACTACGTTTCAGATCTCACGTTCCTTCCTCGTTTCAAAGAAAAGAAAAATTCAATTAAAAAAAAAGATAGCATCTACTATCACTGTATAAAACAACGCTCTCGTTGAATATTGACACTTCAATCAATTGACATTTCTCATTCTTCACTGTTTAGCTATTTATCTATAGCGATGAAGCATCTTTTGCCAAGGAGGTCTGCGAACTGTATCAAGAATTCAGTCATTGATTAGTATGTCATTGTTCGATAAAGTACCACACTGCATGATCACTATTGCATTTTATAAAATTTTTCATGAGTATTTCAAATTCATTGCAAATACTTGCTGGATCGATTCAATTTATTCAATTTGTCATATTTAAGGATTGTGGGATGCCTAAAAGAAATTATTATTACTAAGTTACATGTAGATTCATTTGGACCTTTTATTTGATAAATGATTGTGATCCTAGAGACAATTATTTACAGTTTTATTGCATAAATTTGTAATAATGCACACATACACTGTATGATATTGGTCATTTCAGAGCATCAAAATGATTTAATTTTCCAAGTGAAACTGAATGTGTTCAAACACAACAAAGCGGAAAATAGCTATTTTTATTCAGGTTATTTAATAATCATATTACTCATAATTTGGAGACATACGAGGGGTGATCAGATAGTTCGCGAACTATATTTACAAAACCACAACTGAGATCAGAATGGAATTTGACAACATATAGACACACACATATTCTATGAATAGCAGGTGTTACATTATGTTTTGCTCCATGTTTGTGATGTCACAATGTGAAAATGACGTCAATATGTAGGTGACTTGTGACAAAAAATGGTTGACTCAGTCGTACTCGAGCAACGAACGGCTGTAAAGTTTAACGTATATCTTGGAAATTCCTTTGCAGTAGAATATGATAATTTGTAAAGGTTTATGAAGACAAAAGACTTACCAGAAGTTCGTTATTAATTGGATTGATTGTTTTAGTGAAAGCAGGGAGATGGTTAAAAGAGACAGAGAACTCGAGTTTTGATGATCACCATGCTAATTCTGGGAAGGGATGTCGATCCTTACCCACCCATCCTATTGCCAACAGTTGGCCATTTCTGACAGATGGACTGTTCTTGTTATAAAAAATATCTTGCATGGTAAGAAATATACGACTTGGAAAAATCTTTTAGCTTCTATGAACAGACCGCTACGGAGCCTGTCACGTGACCGCCTGGATCACGTGATTCGTGCATGTGCAGAACAATAACAGATTTGCATTAAAATCGGAGAGGACTACTTTAAAAAAAAATGAGCACTGAAACCTCATTTTATTTCTTTTGAGGAAGTAATTCAATTAGTTCGCAAAGTTTTTGATCACCCTTCGTACAGCGAATCTCGATCCCGAAGTTTTATGTTAATCATCATTAGTCCCATACTGATGAAATAGTTTTAGGGACCGTTTCCTATCCGCTTGTCTTACATATATTAAACTGAGCTGTAATTTTTTTGTGATCGAGTCTACCTTGAATCACAGATTTAGTTTGCATTTCGTTCTCTTTCGATGATTTTTGTCGGAAATATGGCTAATATTGTTAGAGGACTCACTATTGCTTAATATGCTAATTTTCAGAATGCTTGTTGTATTCATTAGGCAATCTATTTATTTAATTGCACTTATTTTTTTTTAAATTTCAGTTAAATGATTTGAATTATCATGAAAATTCTCAATATTCAATATTTACATTCAGTGTAATTTGTTTTTTTATGAAATCCATTAGAAATCTACGACGTTCAAATTTCGGGAAGTTTCTAGTATGCCGGTCCCCAGAATCACGCGACTGCGCATGAGCGGTTATTTCCCTTGCCGTTGCTATGCACAATGTAAACAAACCGCCATTTTCTCCTCGCTTCAACAAAACGCATTCGATCGAGTGATTAGGTAATAATGAAATGCGGGTATCAAAAAAATAAAAACACTACTTACCTTAAATATCAAAATCATCCATGCTGTCATTAATATTTGGAGACAAAATAGGCAGTAGCACATGTCGTTGTTTCTTAGGCGATGTAGGTTTGTCGGAAGTAAGTTGAGGGATGAGAATTTGGGGGTTGTACACGGACTTTATAAGTTCTAGAAATTTTAGGAAAGGATCAGAGGAATCTTTTAAGTATTTTTTACGTATACAGTACTGGCTAAAATAAGTGTCATAGAGAGATTTAACAGTCCCGCTCAGTGGCAGTGATTTTTTCAATGCTCTCCAAGTTGACTCGATCGTGTTTGTGTGTGCACCAGTGGTAGGGTCGACAAAATGCAGAGAATGGTTAACCTTTAAGTGATCGAATTCCTCCTGGTCGAGAATGTCATATGCTTTCCAGCAGTCAGATATAATAGTAGTTCCCGGTAAAATATTTTGTTTTATGATGCCGAGTAATGTTTCTCTCGAGCGATCTGTCACTGTCGTGAAAAAACACTTCTTTGATCCTCTCTCTATCCCTCCAAACACCCACACACCTTCAACTTTTCGTCCTTTATGAAATTTTCTCTTTCCAAATTTGCTCTCGTCTATCTCGACAACTTTCCCCTCTCCTCCTATTTTCTCAGATTCCTTTTCTAATACGCAGGTGCAAACCTCCCGTGCGAAATTGTACCAGTCTACGATGGTTTGACATGCAATTTCAAGTTCGTGTCTGACAAATAATTCACTTACTTGGTACACCCAAAAATAAGTAATTAAAAGAATTTTTTCCAGAGTTAATTTATGATTCTCGAACCAGCTCCCAACTCTCACGGACACTTTCTTGTGACATTTTTTGTTGGAGCATCTCCAAACATGTTCGTCGCTGGAATAACTAGAATCTTCCTTAATCCAAATTTTCCCGTCTCACAACTTTTACATATTTCCCCATTTAAATCAATCAGAACATTCAATCCAATTAACCACTGAATTAAACAAGTTAAATCGGTGCTTTTCTGGTAAATATCCTTTAATTTCACCGGCATTTCATACAATCAGCTGTTTCTGTTTACAAATTACGTCACATGCTAGTATGTACCAGTGACGAAAATCTCATGAATATTCATTTATTTCTACAGAACGCGCTCGAGACAACCTTCGAAGTTGACAACATTAAAAGTCGATTTTTCAAGAAGCGTGTAGTTTTATTTCTGGATTATGTTTTACTTCGAATTTAAAAAAACTGTGTTTAAAAACCAGTTTTTTAAACCTCATTTTTTACAATTCATCTCTGGGCTTATTTTGACTTTTTTTGGCCTTTTTATTGATTTTTTTCGATCGCTCACGCGATCGCTTTATTATAATACACCGCCTTCGGCGGCACATATTTTAGCGCCATATTAATGGGGATCGGCATACTAGAAGTGTTCCCAAATTTCTATAACACACGCGAAACCTTTTCACTTCGCGGTAGAATACACAATAGGAACTACATGCATTTTCAATACTCTAGGAATTGTATAGTGGAATTGAAATGTATATTGTTTTGACTCAATTTAATTAAAATCAACTACCTGTTAAATTAACGTAAAATATAACAAATGTGCGTTTAAAATTAATATGTCATTATTTTTTTTCGAAATGTTCATTTGCGTTATAATTTAACTTTCCAATGTCACAAACGGCTCTTACGTCTATTAAGCACACCAGTTCTGAAAGACAATAAATTCATAATAAAGATAAATGAAATAAACATTTATGAAGAGAGAAAACATTAGAGAATGTAAATATAAGCATTGAATTCTGTAACACATCTGGCCGTGCCGACAAATTATCATACCGCGCTAACGCGTGGTATTCAATTTGTCTGCACGGCCAGGGTGTGTTATAGGACCGACGACATCCAAAAATAAGAATTCAATGCCTTTCTATGCTGACCGGTCAATCAAAGTATTTAAGGATTTTTTTATGTAAATAAAAGTTATAATTAGAGACTTCTTAGAATTTTTGAAAATACATATGAATTTCCAAACAAATTTCAATAATTTTAGCATGTGTAAGCTTTTACTCTATAGACTGTTTTGAGTGATTAAAGCAATAAAAACTGTTTTTCTCTTCTTCTTTTTTTTAAATTCGTTTTGTATCAGTCTGTATATGACTTCTTCACCATATGTGAAATTAAAATAAGAAAATAATTCAATATATGAAACATAGAAAATATTACCTAATTTAAAAAAAAAAAAAAGAAAAAAAATTGAGTATACTTCAGCGCTAAGGTAACAAAATGATACTCCAAATCATAAATCCAATTATAACTACTGATGTAATTGATAGGTGTTAAAAGTATGTGTCTAAACAAGGGACAAGTAAAGGATGCATGTTCTAACTATATGTTTGTTAGTCACGGATAAATATATTCAAAAAGAGCTTAAATAAATATAACGAACGGTTTTCTCCAGGTGGGGGGAATGATATACACAATTCCAAGAAAACATGCCTTTCATTAATCAGAACAATTATTATCAAATTCCTATTCCATGTAAAGGAAGAAGAGGTGATAGCCTTTGTATGGAGACGTCTTATTTCTTATAGAGGGGACCACTATTTCTTTTGAAACCTAGAAATAGCAATTTTAAATGATACCGCATTTTATTATGACAGTTTTTTTTTATGTGAGTGAGTGTGTTACGTAAAAGGCATAGGCACCTAACATTACTTATTTTTCTTTTAATAAACAAAATATACCCCTTTACTTAATAATTTACCTGACGTTCCTTATTTTTCTTTTAATAATAATAAAAAAATACCCCTACCTAATAATTCACAAAGTACACATCGCCGCCATCTTGATTTCATCTAGGTCGGTCACATCAATTTGTATTTTCGTCTCAAACTCCGTGAAATATTTTTTTTATTAAAAGAAAAATAAGTAACGTCATGTTCCTGTGAGTGTAAGCTAGAACATTATATAAGTATACAAACTGTTTGAAATATTTTTCCGGCGTTAAATTATGCAACTTCCATACAACAATAGCGTTTGCTTGGGGACACAAATGTAAATTTTGCGCAAGGAAAAGAATTCACATAATGTGTTGGTTTGTTGTTTAGGTCTTATCAAAGATGTTTGTGTGCTGATAAATTATGTGAAAATTTACTCTTAGCATAAATTTCTCCCACGCAAACATTTCAACGTTTACAATTGGTGTCTCGGACTGATACAGGGTATGGTATAAAGAAAGGTATGAATAGTTCTCTATTTTATCTTTCAGGTGAAATACTATGTAAAATAGTGAATGGATTTCCCATTTTTTGTATCACGGCCTCCATATTTACTCTGGTCGCTCTGTCCTGTGAAAGGAAGCACAGTATCGTCCATAGTTTGCGTCCACAACTGACCTTGACCACCTCCAAGAAGATAGTGGTCAGTGTGTGGGTCTTGGCGGGCATTGTGTCAACGCCCTCGTTTGTAGAGTATTCTGTAACCACAGTTGGCCTGAAAAAGAACGTCACAATAGAATCGTGTGGCAGTACGTTCCATAGGACATTCTCAATTTTCAATGGGCTATGCGTTCTTTTGCTTGCCTATGTCATACCCTTAATCATCATGTGGTATAATTATGTTCTCATCATTAAATTTGTGATGAAGAAAACATCTTCTGTAAGGGATACACCGACCTTTCAATTGAAAAGAAATCGAAATAATGCGCACTGTGGGAATAATGAAGAAATGACGTTGAAAACTACATCAAATGAAAACATTACAACGAATTCTACTTCAAAACCATCGACTTCTAGACTCGAAACGATTGAAACTACGGAAAAGAGAGGATTGCCAAGCAATAGCTTTCTCTTTGCTAAGCGAATGAAGATCATAAAGATGTTAATTTTAGTTGCTGTGCTGTTTGCCATCTGTTGGTTGCCATATTTTGTCTCCTTAGTCATTGCTGTAAGTATTGTAACAATGCTAATGTGTAAATGATTAAAGTTGTCCCTTGTCATTAAAAGTCAAAGGCATCAAAATCTCTCAAATGATTAAAGACTAATTGTAAAGAGTGAACGGGATACCTTTTTTCAATCAATGACATCTACACGTTTTATATTTTCAATCTCCCCAGTATACCTGTAGGTGTTATATTCTGCCGTTTGGAATTTCAATAGCAATATATCATAATATAAATGTCTTTTATTGATGTAATGTTCATTGCATTTAAAAAGAAAAATAGTTTTTCTGAGCAGAAGGGGAAAAATTAAACCGTGATCATGTAGCAAATTGCAATATTGGATTTCAATTAGTGAGAAAGAAAATAGACAATTCATTTTAATGGAATGATAAAGCGATGTTCCTCGCCCAAGCGATAGTTTCGTATAGCACAGAAATGATGTAACCGAAAATCTTTCTTACAATGATGATGGAGGTTAAGATTATCGAATAAATTGTTAATAGCTTTCTGTAATATTTCTCATAAGCCGTGAATAGACTTCAAAAATCTTCTCGCGTTTGGGCGAATAAAAAAATTGATTCTGATATGCATCTTGTAAAAAAATATTCTCGACTTTTTTGGCTTAATACTAAGTAAATTGGTTATACTCCAAGATGAGCAAGGAGAAATCAATTCAGTAAAATTTCTTTCTTTAAACCCCCTTCGAAATAGATGAAGACCGCACCACTTTTCGAATACACTGTTATACAGTACTCTGAAGTTTCTCCTTCACTGCTGTTAATATTTTAGTGAAGAGTAAAGAAAGAGGCTTGGTAGAACATTAACTGGAACCCGCTATGTATATGTGTTTGTAAGGATTTTTATGAAGTTTAAGAATCTAGTATAGGTACGGTGATGCAAATTCATAGTGATTGTTGGGAGTTCAAGATATCAATTATTCATTTTGCTTTCTGATACCTTTATTATATGGCAAGCCCTTTTACTATTTATTCGTAAAATATTTTTTTCTTTCAATAAGAGAGATATCTCTTTAGCTTAGAGAGATATCTCTTTAGCTTATAGAGATATCTCTTTAACTAAAAGAGATATCTCTTTGACCAAGAGAGATATCTTTTTGACTTAGAGAGATATCTTTATAACCTAGAGAGATATCTCTATAAACAAAAGAGATATCTCTTTTTGCAAGAGAGATATCTCTTTTACTTAGAGAGATATCTTTTTAAGCTAGAGAGATATCTCTTAAAGCGAGAGAGATATCTCTTAAAGTTAGAGAGATATCTCTTTAACAACGTTAAAAGAGATATCTTTCTAAGTTAGAGAGATATCTCTTTAGATTTTCAAAAAGAGATATCTTTCTAAGTTAAAGAGATATCTCTCTTAATGAAAGAGATATCTCTTTTCAAGTTATCCTTAAAATGAAATAATTATTCCTCCCTTATAATACGAAAGCGAGGGTAGACACAACATGGCAGGGAGTGTATGTGTGATGATCATATATACGGTAGATCTCTCCCTCTGGAATAGATTCAGCATGCCCAATCCCAGAATGAAGTATGTAGAAAGTAATGTTAAATCCCTTGTTTGAAACAACAAAAGGATAATGACTACTTTGTTGATAAACATGCTTAAGTCTTTATATTCAGGAAAACGAAAGTCTCAACTGCGATGGACCGAATTTTCTCAGCTTTTGAAATAATTAGCTGTTTCTAATTTTAAATCTAGACAACACTGAATTACTTGTCATATTTATTTAAGTTATATTGTAAAATAGGTCAAATTTAAAGACTACTTTAATTAACATCCTCGTCGAAATCAAGTTGGAGAAATCGGGTGGGGGTCTATTCCGTTGAACAGTGAACTTTTGCTGAATATTTTTACTGGGCGTAATTAATGTTGTTTTGTGGAAAAAAGTGGGGAGATTTGCTCCCAGCCAACCACCAGCAATTCTACAATTAGCCCCATTAGGTTCTGATACTCATGGTTTAATGCACAGGTGCTTAAGGACATCCCCCCCCCCCCATCAGGCCCGTTGCAACGATTTCAAAAGGCGAAAAGGGGGGGGGTAGCAATTTCTCCAAAAAACATTAATGGCTCTCTGAATTATTTTTCATGATTTTTTAAAGCATTTGTTGATGTATGATGCACTATAAAAATTCACAATTGATGCAATAAGCTATACATGTATATGTATCCAGAGATATATATGTCTCTGGTATCTGATGTATCCCCCCCCAAAAAAAAATATAAATAACCTCTCTATTTATATCATTGGTATTTTTATACATAGCTTATTAATGCATTAATTGTGAATTTTTATAGTGCATTATACATCAACATATATGCTTAAAAAATAAATCAAAAAATAACTCGGGAAGCCCAAAATTTTAGAGGGTTGGGGTGGGTTGTGTTCCTGTTCCCTTGAAGCACCTGTGGTTTAATTATGTACATTTTGTCTTTTGTCTTTTATACAATAAGCTGAACTCTGATTGATTGCAAAGATCAATAATATGCGCTAGTCATTATCCTTCAATAAATTGCACAAAAAATTAACAAATTTAAATAAATTCAGTCTAACTAAAATAAGATCTTTATTCCGCTCCAACAAGATTGCTACACATTGCGATCTAGTTGGGTCTAATTTTTATTTTTTCTGCTCTCACTAAAGGAAAGGGATCAAGACATTCTTTGATTTTGATGCAAATTCTATTGTGTGAAACGGAAATAAAAATTATAATAATGGATTGCCAAGTCATAATTGCAACACTTCTTTAAAAATATGGAAATCTATAGCTTGAACTTGTTTTTTTTTTTTAGAAGTTTGAAAATTTGCCTTAGCAGAATAGAAATACTTTCCTTGTCATCTGAAATGTAGAAGAATATAGGTACCCCTTAATCTTCAGAATTTTTATGCCCCCACCATAACATGGTTGGGGGGGGGGGGGGCATATAGTGTTACCCTGTTCCATCATTCTGTCATTTCGTCATCATTGAATTTCCGTTCATTATCTCGGCTACAGTTGTACACATTCAACTCAAATTTGATATATGGATACGTCATAGGAATATGCAGGTCAAGTTTGATTGGTCATGGTCTTGACAGTTATCCCCCTTGAACTTGGAAAAGATTTTAAAAAAATTCTCAATTTCTAATCATTATCTTGGCTACAAATGTGCAAATTACAATTTGCAATTTGAAATTTTGGCTGCCTGCGGGGGCATTTGTGGTGTTACCACACACATCTAGTTTGTAAAATAAAATCCTTGCCCTTTGGTCCTTGTTTTCATTTCCCAGCAAAATATATATATGATATATAATATGATAATCTATCATAGTACATGTACATTCTCTGACAATTCCTCAGAATTTTTTTTTATATTTTTGAAATTAAATATTTCTGATATTAAGCAAAGTTTACGGTTCAGTGCAGTCATTTAGGGTACCAGTAATATTCCAAATCACTTTTCATTTAATTTTATTTAAATGCAAAAGGTGTAAATAATTTTATGCTAGAAATTGGCTGTTTGGTATTGACAGAAAGCAGTTTCAGTGACTATGGCACAATTCATTGAGTATACCCTCCATAAAGTAACCATGACTGGGAGATTTTTTTTTTTTATCTCTGATATAGTGTAAAACAGGTCACTTCAAATAATTTGTGTGTAGCAGGTTGAGACATCTGAGTTGTGTCCCCTCCTTTGTCATAATGCCAGCTAGTGTAAAGCTGAGATTGATCAATGTACTCTAAGCTAACTTAAGGACTGTGCTCTAGACCTGGTGTATTCCTAACAGGTATTTATTCTTACTGATTGCATGACTAAATATTAATAAAATATATTAATCATATCTTAATGAATTCCTTCTGTTCAACAATCTTTGGTTTACCTCATTACTTAAAAAAATGTTACACAGAGGAATTGTCCATTACAGAAAGACAACTATAGTTGTAAGGGTCCAATCACTTTGAATCCATTTCATTTAACATTTATATTGGAATGGGATATAACTCAGTCAACAATATTAGTTTTCTTTATAATATCCTTAGCTTTCAAATCTTATACATGTTTGGCCACAGAAGGAATACACATGTAGTTTATGAGAACACACAAAATAAGTTTGTTTGTTTGTAGACCATTCGGCGTCATCACATTTATGGTAATGTGTTAAATACACATAAATAAATACATGTATAACTTTAATCCACTCTGTCTTACAAATTAAAACCCTTCAATATTATATACAGAAGTAGTTGATGAAAGGTTGACACCTACATACACTGTAAATGAACTAAAAATTTAAGAAATACCAGGTACATGTTCTAAGATTGAATTGTGTGTCTTTCAAGCTTGTTTACTTCCATTATGAATTAATAATTAAACCCTTAGTTTGGCCCTCGCTCACTTTCATATTTTTAGCTCACCTGAGCGGAAGGCTCAAGTGAGCTTTTCTGATCACATTTTGTCTGTAGTCCGTCTGTCTGTCCGTCTGTAAACTTTTCACATTTTCGACTTCTTCTCCAGAACCACTGGGCCAATTTCAATCAAACTTGACACAAAGTATCCTTGGGTAAAAGGGATTCAAATTTTTTCAAATGAAGGGCCACGCCTTCTTCCAAGGGGAGATAATTATGAATTCGTGAAAAATTAATGGCATCATTAAAAAATCTTCTTCTCAAGAACCTATGTGCTTGAAAATATGAAACTTATGTGGAAGCATCCTCAGATAGTGTACATTCAAGTTTGTTCAAATCATGACCCCCGGGGGTCGGGTTGGGCCGCAATGGGCGATCAAAGTTTTACATAGGAATATATAGGAAAAATCTTAAAAAAATCTTCCTCTCAAGAACAGCAAAGCCATGATTGGTCATATTTAAATGGAAGCATCCTCAAGTAATGTAGATTCAAATTTGTTCAATTCATCCCCCCCCCCCCCCCCGAACCACTTTTATATTTAAACTTTTCAACCTTTCAACACTAAACTGATTTCTGCTTTTTCCTAGCCATAGTG